CATATGTACTTGGTGAAATGATCAACTAAAATCAAGTAATAGCGTGCACCATCAATGCCAACTGAAGACGTGGGACCCCAAACATCGGTGTAAATAAGATCAAGGGGTGCATGACTTGTAAGACTATTCGAACGAAATGGTTGTTGTGCACTTTATTAATGGAACAGGAAGTACAAATAAACGATTCTTGATCTTTTGTTATTGGAAGGGAAAAAGATTTAATAAGAGAACAGACAACGTTTTTGGATGGATGTCCAAGCCTCTTGTGCCACCCATCAATCGATTTCCTCTCATACACATTCGCAACCATTTTTGAAGAAGATTCCAACATTGAGTCCGTGAGAGTGTAAACACCGTTTTCACATGCACCTTTAAGTAGAGTCGCCTCCGTGATCTGATCCTTAACGAGAAAATAATTTGGGTGAATTCAAGAAAAACTTTGTTTTGAGTTGTAAAATGGTGAACGGAGATTAAGTTCATGCGAATACTTGGAACACAAAGCGTTTCTTTTAAGTGGAAGGTGCATGTGGGTGATTGAAAAACCAATGAACCAATATGTGAGACACGTAAACCTGTACCGTTACCTATGACAACTTCATCGGTGCCATCATATTCCAAATGAATTGATAGTTTTCCCAAGTCTCCAGTAATATTATGAGAAGCAGCAGAGTCGATAAGCCATTTGGTATCATGTTGTTGAGAAGTGGAGACGCAATTTGCTGTGGCGTTAGAAGGTTTCAATTTCGGACACTGTTCGGCAATGTGGCTTAATTGATCACAAAACTGACATTTGGGTTGAAAATGTCTTTGACCCATGGACCGGCCCAAGTTGTTATGAGTGTTGGTGTCACATGGGCCGGAGTGTGAAAATGAATGGACCGAACGACCCCTATTTACTTGCTGCCTGAAAGAGCCCCGAGAAGAGGAGCCGGAGTTTCTTCTTGGAAAGGTGATTGAGGACGTCGATTTGTGTAGTTGGCTGTGGCAATCAGCTGCTGGGTGGAGGCTTCAAGACGGCGCAGGTAAGCTTTATGACCCACGAGTAAATTGTGGAGTTCCTCAAAGCTCAGATATTTTTCTCGAGCCTTAATTGGTGCGGCGATGTCTCAATAATCAGCACCCAAACCATTCAAGATGTATAAAGTAAGATCATCATCAGAAATAGGATGATCA